GGGACAAGCTTCGCTGGTTCAATGTCACAGCACCTAAGGGCCAGCTCTCTGAGCTTCTGAATTAGATCAGTGAGCTGATGGGGCAGGTATACATTCTGGGTGCCCCTTCAACAGACAAATGGACCCACTGGAGGGGACTGCCCCCCTGGACAAGGGCAGCCATTAGTATGAAAGAATTTGAAAATGTCCACAGTTGTAACTCTTTCTTAGGGCAATAATGAGCAAGTAGCCTTGCTCAGGGCCTTTTGAATCTCCTGTACAAGGCTTGTAGATGAGGGAAGCTCAGTCTCCCAGCATTTTTCCTTTTCAAATAATGGAAATAATTGCCCCGTACACACGGATAGCCAATGGCATAGCCAACTGACCTTTCCAAGAAGCTTTTGAAATTCTACTGGTGAATATTATTCCTTAACGCTTAGCTGGGGTTTCAAGGGGGAGGCCTTTTCAAAACCTAACTGTCTCTGAAATCTTAAAAAAGGAGGGGATCATTTGCACCTTCTCTGAGGAGCCATTTATATTAGCTCTCTCTAAAAGCTCTTTTACCTTTCCCCAGACTACTTGCAATTCCTGAGTTGTACAGGCTTCCAAAATATTATCCAATCTGTCGGGAAACAGGGTTGATGTGCAAGACCCTAAAGACTACTCTCGGCTCAGGGCGAGTTAGGCTCATTTCTGCCACAGCTTTCTTAAGTCTGCCGCATTCCAGGGATATCACTGGGCGGTTCCCTTCAGGGTTAACATTAATGGGAAAGTCCTGGATTGGCTGGTGGAGCCCTGCCAGAAGGTTTGCAACTGCAGCTGTGTTCTCTGGACTCCCATTGAACGGGGGGGGTTGGTTTCCTGCCCTCTGAGCTTCCTAGAAGCTGTTGTTGGGGCGGCTGAGGTGGGCCAGGGCCAGTGTTCAGGGTGTCAGTTTCACTCCCGCATTCCAAAGTATAACGGGCAAATAAATTAACCAATGTTACCCACAGTGCCAATCTGACCATAGTCCCTCAGACCTTGACTGCCTGAGCATCTGAGATTTCTAACCCTTGGGACTTCAGCATGTGTTTAGTGCCGTAAGTGCAGGATCATGAATTTTCCCACCGTTATTGCCCATGGCTTAAGAAAGACAGCAGAGAGGAGAGTGGCACTCAGATACCCAGTCCAGCTGTTGGGCACAGGGGATCCCCTGCAGAGTTTCGGGTGACACCGAAGTGTTGCCTCGGCCAGAAACCATGAGTCCTCAGACAGGTTCACCCCAGAGCCATGCATCCACGGCCATCCCTCAAAGCAGAAGATAAGAGGATAGGAAAGAAGCTAATTGGGCACCTAACACCTCTCTTCCCCCTACAATCTCTCAGGGGATTTGACCGTAGCCTCATGCCTCCACGTTGGGTGCCAGTTCTGCGGGGTCTCCCCCACAGATTCCTTTAGTACCCCATTGTCAGAGGGGATGAGCCTGCTGCCCGCCACCCAGCCTCCAGGCCTGCGAGAGACAGATGGACAGAGGTTCTGTCTAAGCAGTTCCAATTTATTCGGGAAATTCAATTTCTTATATTGCAGAAGCCATCTCCCGCAGGCCAAGGGCAGCTGAGTAAGATGGCCCTGGTTAATCAGTCTTTCTTTGAAACAAGGTGCCCCTGCCCTGGTTCAGGCCCAGGGCTCTGTCCTTGGCCGCCATCTTTCCCACCAGTGACCTGAACTGTTAATCGCCATCTTATTGACTTAGTGACCTCTTTGCCCCTGAGCCCCACAGAAGGGAGAGATGTATGGTCACCCATCCCTCCATCCACATGAGATTCACTCCAAGACTCATTTTATACTCCAGAAACTGCAGATCATACTGAACACTTTTTATTATTTTCCTATACATGCATGCCTATGATAATTAAATTTATTAGTTGACTGCAGCAATAATTTATCAATAAATAATTATTAAATAGAATAATTATAGTTTACTGCAAAAGAGGTTATGTGACTATAGTCTTTCTCACAGAACATGCTTTACCATTTTCCCTTTTTGTTATGATGTGACATTGTAAACCCTATGTTATAAGACAATGGCAGATGACATAAGCATTATTTAACATTAGCTTCTTTGTAATACATGTCCTGCAGTGAAGCAGATAGCAAAAATTATTACATAGGGACTGATGGTCAAACAGCTCACTGGAGTTCAAATTCCTGGACACAGAAGGATGATTCACCTATGGAGCAGGGCAAGGCACACTATCTCATCATGCTACATGGATCAGTATTCAGTTTTAAAATTGTGAATTATTTCTGCAAATTTCTGTTTAATATTTTTGCATTGCAGTTGACTGAAGGGGACTGATACAACAGAGAGTTGAAGTTCAGATAAGACAAACTAGTTATTTATGCAGATATCTAGCTACAAGGAAGTTTGTTCAAGTTCAGTATAAAAAATAAGTTTGGATAACAGATACTGCTTAGCTTACATTTGATAGTCTCTACAGCACAATTTATATTGTACATATCGTAGAGGTATTAATGTATTTCTGTATATTACAGAAATATACTTTACAATTAAAGATAGTCATGTACTGTTGAATGGAAAGAGAGACAATATATTATGTAGACTTATCTGTAAGTGTATTTATGTGTGTGCATAAGCCCTAGTGAAAAGGGTCTAGATACTCCAGTGTGTCGATATTAATTACCTCTTGAAAGATTGGAGCATGTGAATGTGCTGTTTTGGGTTTTGCTTACATAATCTTCTCTCTAATGATGATAAATTACTTTGGTAATAAAGTTATTTAAATATTTTGAAAATACCTAGAGAATTTTGTACGTTTTCCCTTGCTATATTCCTCATGGTAAGCAGAACACTCAAAATCATTGCATTGATCATTTTTTTTAAGAGTAGCTATTTCAGCATTTCGGTGTGAGAAGTGCTTCTTAAAATTTCAGTGGCAGAAGTTTGAAGATTAATTCTTTAGTCTGGCCCTCTTACTCATGTTTTTTTTTTTTCTTTATATTGCTTTTTTGCATTTGTCATTCCCCTTTTCACATTTAATTCCTCACTTTCTCCGTTAAAATAGTGAGAGGAGAAGTAGCAATTGAAGCCTAATGTGAGTAATTTGTTCTAAAAGACACTGTCAGTGCCACATTTGTTCACGTTCTCAATGTTAGCTTCTCAGTATAAAAGTCATACATGTTTGTTCATTACAACAAATATTGGAGACTCAGAAAAATGCCACACATGTAGCATAATCACATCTCACATTCATGTCATTTGGTTTTCTAATTAGAGATGCAATATCGTGTTGCATCTATAATTAGGAGTTTTATTTTCAGAAAAGGTATTCATCCCAGATATTTTTCTCAGCATATTCTCTTTTTCTTTAAAAGTAGCTGCTGATATAGGTTACACTTTTTTTCATCCGTTCTCTCATTCAGCAGTACTCTGAGTGTGTGCTGTGCGCTTGGTGAGTATGAGATGTGCAATGATAGAGAAAAAAAATGATCTCTCCCCTCTGAAGGATGCAGCCAAGGCTCAAGCTGCTGCCTTGCTCACTCCCCTGAAAAGCTCAGTCAACAGCATCGACAGAAACATGGAGATATAGGTGTAACTCAGCCTAATATATGTATTTTTTGTTTCACTTTTTATATCTTGACGTATTTACATCAAATACTCCTACAAATGTACGAGTGCAGTGGTATTTCCTCCTGCCCACATTCTTCATTTTTTTCCTTTCCCCTCCCCCCTTCCCTCCCTCCTTCCTTTTCCCTCCCTTCCTTCCTTCCTTCCTTCCCTCCTTCTTTCCTTCCTTCCTTCCTTCCTCCCTCCCTCCCTCCCTCCCTCCCTCCTTCCTTCCCTCCCTCCCTTCCTTTGTTCCTCCCTCCTTCCCTCCCTCCCTCCCTCCATCCCTCTCTCCCTCCCTCCATCCCTCTCTCCCTCCCTCTTCCTTTCAAAATTTTCAATGGCATAGTTTCAGCTCACAATCACAGGTTTAACATTCCATGAGGTAAAGAATTAAATGCCTACCAAGCAGAAAAAATAAAACCCTGCTCTGGCCCTCAAGAGTATAGAACATATCTGTAAAAACTAATCAAATCTCAGAATGTGATTAATCCTCTTAAAATGACCTAATTTCTGTTCCTCCCTCATGGGTAAGGAATCAAATCATCAAATCATATTTATCGTTTCTCAAATCAGGTAAATGACACAAAGGTAAGTAAGATTTTTACAACACCAACAACAACAAAAAGCAGTTGAAAAAGAAGAAGAAATCAATTTAGCAAGTTAAAGCAAAGTGAAACGGGGATGGTACCAAGTTCATCTGTCCCATTATAGTTACATATAGTGTACTTACTAAAGAACAGAGGGAAATATTTACATGAAATATTTCTGAAAGGAGGTGATCAAGGACTATTTTCAGAATGCTCGATGACAGGGAGGGACCAAGAACTGATTATTCCTAAAGAGGCTCCTGACTGGGTAATGCATAAATCCCCATCGGGCTTATCTGCCTGGCCTGACCTTGGCTTTGGGGCCATAGCTCAGGATGAATGGAAGTGCAGGATCCCCAGGAAGTTCAGGACAGTGGCTATTTGCCTAGCTGTGTGAAAGTATTTTAACATTTTAACAGCTGGTGTGACAGGCTCCGTCCTGGAGGAAATATATTGCACTGTTGAAGCTGATTTTGCTCTAGGGAAGGACACAAGAGTGGCCAGAACAAGCCTGTATTTAAAACAGATTCTTAAGTGGCAGAAACTATATCAATCACACAAAAGCAGGAAACCCAAATTCTTCTAACTAAAAAGAGTGTGTGTTTCCATGAATGGAGCTCTGAAACAGAATACAGACATGTAGGAATTCTGAGGCATTGAAAAGAAAATTTGTATTAATTGGAAATTTTTGAAATATCTATTTGTATTATAAAGAAAAACAAGAAAAGGGGGGGGTCATCCTATCTTCACAACATTGTAAAATGGAAGTAGCACTATTTTTAATGTATATGACAATATTTTTCTGCTTTGTTCTCTTCCTTTAGATATCTTTACTGGAAAAGGCAGGATTTGGAGGTGTTCTTCTGTATGTTGATCCTTGTGATTTACCGAAGACTGCCGAGCCGAGCTCAGAGACCTTCATGGTGTCACTGAATCCTGGAGGGGATCCATCTACACCTGGTTATGCAAGTGTTGGTAAGCTTGTTACTTATCTGTACTATTCTTGTACATAGTATAAGCATTAAATTTCTAATTAAATGCTGCATAAATTAATGGTCAAATATATATATATTTTTTTTACTTTTCTATGTTGTTAAAACACAATATTAGAAACTATCACTTTGTTAGAGTAAAAGTTGAAGGTGATGAGAAGCCTAATGACTTGGGAGGGACACAACTCGGCTACTGATTTCGGGCAGTTGTGATGAGTTTAGACTCAGAGTGCATGCGGTCAAGTCATGTGAGTGGAGTACTAGAAAATTCTAGCAAACAATGGGAAAGCAAACTTGAGAGAGTTTTCTGATTCCTGAGAAAGCGTGATCTTCCTGGTTCAGTTAGTGATCGGCCGCACAGAGATGGATGTTTCTATGAGAGATTTCCAACTCTGAGTTCACTCTGTTCTTGATAGTCTAGATCATACAACGTAGAGGAGCCACCTGTGGCTTTTGGCTGATGCTCACTGTACCATTGAAATTCCATCCAAAGTGTCATTGCCAAAAGTTCTGTACAGACATCTTGGCAGAGGAAAATGCTCTTTGACCCATCTTGCAGGCTAATACACATCCATTACAATACACTGATCAGTCATGAAACTACTAACAACAAAACTTGTAATTTTCCATGTGTTCTACTAGAAATTTTCCTCGTTCCCCCCTGAACATCACTAAAGCTTTACTAGAAGGCTTATTCAATTATATTTCCTTTTTCTCTATACATTCATTTTATAAGGATTTATTTTTATTTTAATTGGAAAGTCACATATACAAAGAGGAGGAGAGACAGGAAGATCTTCCATCCTCGATTCACTCCTCAAGTGGCTGCAATGCTCAGAGCTGTGCCTATCTGAAGCCAGGAGCCATGAGCCTCTTTTGGGTTTCCCACATGGGTGCAGTGTTCCAAGACATTGGTCCATCCTTAACTGCTTTTCCAGGCTCCAAGCAGGGAGCCGAATGGGAAGCAGGGCTGCAGGATTAGAACTGGTGTCCTTATATGATTCTGGTGCGTTCAAGGCAAGAACTTTGGCCATTAGGCTACCATGCTAGGCCCTATCCAGTAATTTAACTAAAAATTTTACTAATAATTAAATTTACTTAAAATTTTTTGCAACAGTTGTACTAAAATATAATGTTCTGTAAGAAGTAAACTGAATCAAATATCTATCATAGTTTATGAATTTTGTTATGTTTATTTCTTTGCATTCTATATACCATAAAACTAAATACTTAATAATCCATGTGGGAGTTTTACCTGAGATTGCATACATCTGTTTATTATAAACAGTCCTTTGCCTCAACTTTACAACTTAGAAATTAGAATTAATAAGTATCCATCTACTAATTAGGTATCTGCAAAAGCATCAGCCCAGCTCCCACATTTGCACATTCTCACACTGCCAGTATTATAATTCCTCAGCTTCACTGTCAGCTTACAATTTGTGGCAAGTCAGTGGACTGTAACGCAGCCAAAACAGATAATTTATGAGTAATCTGCATAAGTTGCTAAGTTGTCCAGTTGACAACTTTACTTTAACATTTTCTTGGACCAGATCCTTTCCACAACAATATAATTAATTCACATATGGAGAAATATTGCCTAGAGTCATAAGCAATCATAGAATGATTTAATGTTTATTTGGAAATTTAAACATACTAAAACTGAGTAAATTGAGACAAATATAAATGAACTAAATTTATAATAAATCTGTAGCTATTTGCACCCAGCACTGTGGTTTAACAAGCAAATCCAATACCTGCAGTGCTGGCAACCCCGGAGGCACTGCGATCACGCACAGGCTGCTCCACTTTGGATCCAGCTCCCTGGTAAAGCCCCTGGGAAATCAGTGGAGGGTGGCCCAAGCGCTCGGGTCCCTTCCACCCTGTGCAAGGCTAGGGATACTCCTGCTTCTCTTGGCCAAGCCATGGTCTTTGTGAATATTTGGGCAGTAGACTGGAGGATGGAAGCTTCTCTCTCACTCTCTCCCCCTCTACTTCTGGCTCTCTGTAACTCTCCTTGTTAAATAAATAAATAGCTGAATCTTTTAAGATGGTAGATTTCATTCTCGTGTCTTTGATCACGATTGTGTTTTTTTCAAGTTTAGCATCTATGTTATAATCCAGTTTTTACTACTTTGTTCCTTTCTGTTAAATTTGGATTAGTTCTTTCCTCTTTCATAACCGTATTAGTTTTGAGAATTACTGACATGTTATTTTGTATAATGTCCATTATATTCAATGAGCTTGTTCCATATTTCCTACTTATTCTGTTTATCTATATTGCACCAGAAATATGCCAGAAAAAAATACCTTGCTCTACTTTGTGCATCCCAGGAGCTACACACTGTTCATACTTCTTACTTGCCAATTCTTCCCACTGTAGACTTACTTGTTCCTTTGCAATTAGTGGATATCTTGTGGGGGGATACTGCAATAGTGCAAAGATTCTCCTCTCTGTCATGCTTTCCCTCAGAAACATTAGGAACCAACAAACGCCCTTTTCTTTTACTGTTGTTACTGTGATTCTTGCCAAAAATGACTTTCTATTGTCATCATGTCTTTAGAGTATGTTTTAATCAAATATGATTACATTATGATTAGTCACATTCCAACAAGAATGAAATTGTTGTTAAGAATTTGGAGCCTACTTTTGAATCATACCTCTTGGTCCTACGGGAAATTTATCAAACATTAAATAATAGCAACTACTGTGATAATTCATGTTGCTTATGTAACTGTACTTCGGAAAGTTCATGGAAAAATTCAATTTCAAGAAAAAATTTATTACAAAAATGAAGTCCATGTACATCAAAGCGAATATTCAGCAATATGGAAAAATGCATATTCTGGAGAAAATGCTGCATCAACTTATCATCTAATTCATTTTTTTCTTAACTTTTTAAGGTGCCCATGTATCCTTGGTTTCTGATTAATTTATCCTTCTCTGCAGAAATATTCTCAATGTTTTTGTTCATTTAAATATTTTAAACAATGCAGTCCTCCATAATTTGAAAAGGGGAAGGAAAGGGAAGCTGTGAGTTTTAGTCACAAGCTAACAATAATGGTTTGCCCAAAATGAGCCACAGTTTATGAATTAATGTTCTATATACTAATTGTAGTTAGCATATAATATAAAAAAATCTAAAACTGCCTCTTATTCCAATTTTAGGAACTGTGTTTTACTAACTACTTTAAAGGTGGTTATATTTTAAATGCTAAATTTTAAAACAACAAATTATCTAGTCAGATGAATTAAAAAAAATTTTGCTTGTTAATATAAGCCAAGAAAGTACCACATTAACATTTCCCAGTTTCATCAATATTTATTTAATGTATTTATCATTATTCCATTTTAACTTTGTCTCTACATTCTGGTATACTCAGCATTACTTGATATTTTTCCAGATGAGATTTATGTAAATTGAAAACACACATCTTTTATTGTTGGAAATAAAAGTGTGAGAGAGAGAGCGCGATCTCCCATTCCCTGGTTCACTCCCAGACTGGATGCACAGGTTGTCAGATCTTTCAATGATAGCTTAACTCACTGAGCCACATTGCTTGCCCTGCAAGAGTGCATCTTTATTAACAAATACCTAGGGCATCTATTTAGCTATGGAATATAGCTTAGACTCTGTTATTGTAACAGAATACCAAAAATTGAATATATTGTAAATAGTGAGAGTCTTTTGAGCTGATAGTTCTGGAGCTAAGGAAGTCCAAGATCAACAGGCTAGGTCTGCTGAGGGTATTTTTATTGCATTAAACATGACAGAATGTCAAGGAAATGCATGTGACACAGAAAAGGAGACAATAGTAAATTCAGGGCTGAAACACCTATCCTACTGTTGCAAAACATGAATATATTCAGATGGACTAAAACCTCATAGCTTAAGCACATCTTAAATTCATCACCTCATTTATTTATTTATTTGAGAGATTTATAGAGAAAGGAAGGAATAACGGAAAGAGAGAAAAAAAATCTTCCATGAGCTATTTCACTCCCCAAATGACTGCAAGAGCTGGATATAGGCCAGTCTTTAGAGGTCTCTGATATGGGTGGCAGATGTCCAGGCACCTGGATCATCTCTGCTTTTTCAGACACATGACCAGGAAACTGGATGGAAGTGGAACAGTCAAGATTCAAAATGAGGGCCCAGCGCGGTGGCGCAGTGCTTAAGGTCCTAGCCTTGCACGCCCGGGATCCCATATGGGCACCAGTTCTATCCCGGCAGCTCTGCTTCACATCCAGCTTCCTGCCTGTGGCCTGGGAAGGCAGTCGAGGACGGCCCAAAGCTTTGGGACCCTGCACCTGCGTGGGAGACCCGGAAGAGGCTCCTGGCTTCGGACTGGCATAGCATTGGCCGTTGCGCTCACTTGGGGAGTGAATCATGGGACGGAAGATCTTCCTCTCTGTCTCTCTTTTCTGTATATCCGCCTTTCCAATAAAAAATAATAAAAATAAATCTTTAAAAAAAAAAGATTCAAAATGAAGCTCCAATATGAAATGCTATTAGATCAGGCAGTGGCTTAACTCACTGTGTCATGATGCCAGTCCCATGTTCTGCGTCTTGATACTTTTACACTGGATTTAAATTTCAATATGAGCTTTGGGGTTTATATAAAACCATATCAGAACATTCCCACCCATTCAGAAAGTTCTGAGTCTCTTCAAAATTATCGTTTATCATCAGCCCTAAAGCCACTGGTCACATTTTTTCAGATATACTAATTTGGACTTTCAAATAAAAGACTGTGTGGTATGTATTATATTGTGTACAAATTAATTTGCTTAGAATAATGTCTATGATGTTATTTGCAGATGGATGTGCCAGTGTTTTATCGCCTTTTATAAACAATCTTTTACTGATTCACAGGTTAATTTACTTAGTACTTAAAACCTATATTCCAAACAAATCTCATTTCCTTGAAGCTTATTCTTTTTGAATTTCAAGGGATTTTAGCATAGGTGTCACAAAACTA